CCCAAGGCGTACGATTCTCCCCACCGCTTGAGATAAGTGGACGCACACGTGAGCATCTTCCCCACCCCTCCCCGGGGCAAAGTAAATGAACGCATGAGCGCGCGTCGCTGCGTCGTGATGATCTGGCTGCGTGCGCTCATTGCGCCATCTCATTGGTAGTGCTGAAAACATAATAGTTCACCTGAGATTGACATCGCCAGCGGTAAGTGGTAGATATAGATTGCTGTTTAAACGTTGAAAGAGGTGCGCCTTCGTGGCTCAGTGACTAACCCCACGCACTCACAAGCAACAGGTCAGACGTTCGATTCCGCGCGCCGGAGTCGTTATCTAGAATATTTTCTTTCTTGCGTTTCCATATGTATGAATACGTATACATATATGGTGAATGACGGCGCTCGCTGACGCCGGTGGCAAAATCAAGCCAAGAGTGTCCATATATTTGCTATCACAATAAAAAGAGAGAAATGTAAGAAAGGGATAAATAAATAGTAAGCTTGAGACCACACAGCACGGTCTCGCGACGTTCGTTCATAAGCGCTCGTGCAGTCCGGTGGTCCTCAAGAAACACAAGAGAGCTTTCGTCCTTGGCCCACGGTCGCCCTTACGCGCGACAGTCGGAGATGGAGATGAGTTGGGCTGCCGTCGTGCTCTGAAAGTCCGTGCTCTGACGCAAGATCAACAAGGTTCATGCCTCTTCGATTTGCCCTGAAGATCCCCACATCTACCACAAGCATCTATGATCACACGGGTACGTTTAATCATTGATGATGGATATTAGTTGATCCGTCACGCTGCACCATCGCAGTATACCTGTGCAGTGTACCGTCGCTTACGTCACCCACACGAAGCGTGAATGGGTCCACTCGAAGCGAATTCTCGTCTTTTCTTCGTACCGCTCAGCGAGGTCTTTCTGGCACAGCGTTGCGGTGTAGTCTTCCGGTTAGGCTGACATCGTGCATGACCCTTCTTGGAGTTGAATTTGCGTCGCTCGCACTCGATCACGCCAGCAAGTTACGCCAACGCTCGCAAACACGACTGCGCTGCATGCTGCACTCCCCGACCACCTCTGACAAAAAAAATGGCTGCCTACCCAGAGTGCATAGCGTCGCCGCCGTTCATGCAAGCGTCCGGCTGCATGCGATGCGTTGTGCAATCGAAAGGAAGCATGCGAGAAAGCTCTACGTCGTTGCGTGTACGCAGAAACCAGGTTTGTCAAATATATATAACTCATTAATACCAGTGTTCCGCACTGTGGTGTGAAAACACGCAAAAGGCGCAGCGCTGCCTGACTACGATGCAATGACGTGAACAGCAGCGACACACGAGACAGAGGGAGCAGGAACTTCATTGATTGATTGATTAAAACTTTATTTTTGTCCTGAGAAGACGCAGGGGAGACCCCGCGCCACCCGGCTAATCCCACGTTGGGACTGTCAAGCCGAGCTTGGCGGCCCGTTTGCGGGCACTCTGGACGGCCAGGGTTTGATCCTTAAGTTCGGGGCTGCGTAAGAGCGCAGCCCACCTGTCCTCGCTGAGGGCGGGGCCGATGGCTTCACATTCCCACAACACATGATTGAATGTGGCTAACAGTCCACAAGCGGGGCAATCCGCACTTGGATACCGTTCAGGGTAGATGGCATGAAGAACCGCAGGGTTAGGATACGCACTGGCTTGCAATAGTCTTAGGGTGACTGCCTGCGCCCTGCACAAGGCCGGGTGTGGGAGAGGGAATACCCTTCTTGACAGATAGAAGTGCTTTGTTATTTCGTTGAACGTAAGTAAGGGTTCCCAGCGAGGCAGAGGGACTGTGGAGGTGGCGCGGTCAGTGAGTCCTCGCGTGGCCTCATGTGCGCCCTCGTTCGGGTTAGAGGTAGAGCCCTCAATCGACCCCAGGTGAGCGGGAAACCAAGTGAGAGAATGGGGCGTGATACTCTTGACGCTTTGGAGAATGTGGAGGGCCTGAGGGGCTACCATACCGGTTTCGTAGGCTTTGATAGCCGCCTTGGAGTCGCTGTATATTGACTCTCTGCGACTATCTAGCATAGCCAGCGCGATTGCAACCTGTTCGGCTATCACGGGCTTCGATGTGCGTACTGTGGCGGAGCAAGTGAGCCTGGAATTTGAGTCGACGATGGAAACAGCGAATGCCTCTTGTTGGACATATGGCGCAGCATCCACAAAGCTTGCATCAGTGGGGTTGCTACGGACGTGCTCGAGCAGAGCTCTACCCCTGGCCCTACGCCGACCGACGTTGTGCGCAGGGTGCATATTGCGGGGAATGGGTGCTATGCGCAGCTGAGACCTGATGTTTCTGGGAATCTGCATGGAATCGGGGCACTGGTCAATAGAGTTGAGGCCCAAATCAGTCGAGTATCTTGCGGCCCGATTTGGTTCCGGAAAGCCTGAGCAGCTGTGAGCGCTCTTGCGCCTCGATTATCTCTTCGAGTGTATTGTGAACACCGAGCTTGAAAAGGTTTTCAGTGCCAGTGCTTACAGGCAAGCCGAGCGCGAGCTTGAAGACCTTTCTTATGAGGGAATTGAGCTTACTTCTTTCTGCAACATGCCAATTATACATGGCCGCCGAGTACGAAAGGTGGCAGAGCACAAACGCATGTATGATGCGGATGAGATTGTCTTCCTTGATTCCGCGGTGTCTGTTGGTGATCCTCCGGATGAGGCCGAGAGCACTTTCCGTCTTGGTAGTGATCTGTCTCAGTGCAGCTCCGTTAGCGCCGTTGGACTCGATATACATTCCCAATATTCGGAGCGAATCCACTCTGGGCACTGGGGACCCGTCACTAGTGAAAAGCCGTATTTCACTTTGAGACGCAGGTTTCCAGTCACGGTGGCCGCCGCCTCGGGGTCTTTTCTTGTAGAGCAGAAGTTCAGATTTCGATGGGGAGCACCTGAGACCGGTGGGACGGAGGAAACGTTCGGTCACGTCGATTGCGTGCTGCATGGCTTCCTCAACTTGACCATCGCTCCCGCCGGTGCACCAGATGGTTATATCATCTGCGTAGATGGTATGATTGATTCCTTGAATCTTCGCGAGTTCCTTGGAGAGCCCGATCATCACGATGTTAAATAGTGTTGGTGAAATAACTGAGCCCTGAGGCGTGCCGCGTGAACCGAGGTTGATCTCTCGTGAGAAGTACCCTTCGATCTTGAGCTTGGTAGTTCTCTGGTAAAGAAAGGATCTCACGAAGTCGTAGACCCTCTTCCCTAGCCCTAGGCTGGCAATAGACTGGAGAATGAATTCGTGAGAAACGTTGTCGAAAGCCTTCTCCAGGTCTAATCCAAGGATGGCTCTGGTATCTCCTGTGCTCCGGTCGATGATCTGATGCTTTATCAGCTTCATGGCATCCTGTGTCGAGAGACCAGCTCTGAAACCAATCATATTGTGGGTGTACATGTCATTGGTCTCGAGGTGCACCTTGAGTCGGTTCAGAAGGGCGTGCTCTGCGACCTTACCGACGCAGGAAGTTAAGGAAATCGGTCTTAGATTATCTATTCCTGGTGCTTTACCAGGTTTCGGGATTAGAACTGTGTAGGCCGTCTTCCATTGTGCGGGAACCTCCCCACTGCGCCACACCTCATTAATCTTTTCCGTAGGAATTCGATGGAGTCATCATCAAGGTTCTTGAGCATCTTATTGGTTATGCCATCAGGGCCAGGGGCGGATTTGGCATTTAGGGAAAAGAGAGCCTGCCGTATCTCGGCCACAGTATAGTCCTGGTCCAACTCCGGCACGTCGCACCCCGCGTAGTCCGGAAACTGTGTGGGTGCAGAGCTATCCGCGACTCGCAGATACCTGTCTATAAGCTTGTTGACAACCAATTCGTCCGGGGTAGAGTCAGTAGCAAGATGGATGGCTCGCGCGAGGGATCGCCTCTGACTGGACCTGGTGCTGCCCTGATCGAGAAGGTGTTTGAGAAGACCCCAGCTCTTCCCAGATCTGAGCTGACCCTCGATGCTCTCACAGAGCTCATGCCATTGTTGTTTACACAAGGTTTTGCAGTGCTCCTCGATCGCCCTGTTAACCTCGGAAACCTTCTTGCGGAGCCTCCTGTTATGCTTCTGTCCCTTCCACCTCGTGAGTAGGGCTTGCTTGGCTTCTAGTAGGTGTGCCAACCTGCTGTCCATGTTTTCAACATCGAGGTCAGTGACGACCTCCTTGGTCGCTGCCGTGGCGTCATCTCTGATTCCTTTGTACCATCCTTCAAAGTCTGTCCCAGCCGTCGGTGCTCTCTCAGCTCTGACTTTGCGAAAAAACGTCCCAGTCGACCACCTTGAATTTTTTCGTCCTAAAGCGGGCAATCGCGAAGGATACCTCGATGATGTAGTGGTCACTTCCGAGGTCTAGAGCCGTGTTGACCCATTTGACCCCATCTATATTCTTCACAAAAGTCAGGTCCGGGGTGGTATCCCGACATATGGAGTTACCTCTCCTAGTGGGGAAATCCTTGTCAGTTATAAGCGTCAAGTCGGCTTCTGTCGCAGTCTGCCATAGCTCGCGTCCCTTGGGGGTATCATACATGTATCCCCACACGCTGTGTGGGGCGTTGAAATCCCCTACAACTACAAGGGGGTAACTACTGGCCATGCTCACAGCCCTTTTGAGGAGAGAGTTTGCTCTCGCCCTGCGATAACTGGGACTGCAGTATACGTTGAGAATAAAAAGGCTATTTCTTCGAAGACCCTTCTTGGGTGAGTTCATTATAATTTCAGTCATTACGTACTCAATGCCATCGGCAACTGCACCGAGGTCACGCGATAGGTAATTGTACCTTTTGCTGATAAGTGTGGCAACTCCCCTACCTCCTGAATGTGATGACGCTACTAGGTAACCCGGGATTTTGATGGGGGTGCCAGACGCAACTTCCTGAACAGCGATGATTTGGGGCTTAACATCGAGAGTTCTTAAATATTGCTGTAGAACGGGCTTTTTGTGAGTAAACCCGCCACAGTTCCATTGCCAGATTCTGAAGTTTTCGTCCACACTATCCATGTTTAGGCTGAGGGGATGGTTGAGCAGCTATAGCAGCCCGGAGGATCGCGCCCTCAGTCGGTGGCGCTAGTACATTGCGTTGTGCTGGGACCTGCAAAGGAGTCGGACCGGGGTCTCTCCTCGCATCGACCTCTTCTAACTTGCTTATGCGTTCACTCAGTGCTCCTAATCCCATCTTGGGATGCGCCACGGCTTCTTGAATTTTCGCTAAGGTAGCCTGCATGTTCACAAAGGAAACCTTGAGTTCCGACAGTAAGTTTACCGCCTCTTCTTCTTGTGTGTTCTCAACCGCTCGGCGCTTAGTTCCGCTAGGCCTACGAAGTGCCTCAGACGTATCCATGGCGACCGGGGTTGGGGCGGGCTGCGCCAAAGGGGGCGAGGACGCGAGCTTTCTAATCTCCGCCATCTCCGCTGCTAGCCTGCTCATTTCTTGCTTAAGCTGCGCGTTTTCTTTCCTCAGCTGCTCGTTAGCTCGTCGCATCTCGTCGAGCTCACTCGCGTGGGGAGAACCGCGATTCGATTCGTCGCCTCTAGGAGACTCACGTCTTCCTCGGGCCTTGTCGGCCCAGGAGAGCGTCGGCTTCTTGCTGTTAGAGGTGGTGGGCGCGCGGGAGCGGGACCTGGTCGGCCCCGACGAAACGTGCCCCGGCGTTGAGTTGGAGCGAGGCTGAGAAGTGGAACTTCCACGGGCACGTTCTGTCGACCTGGAGCGCGAGCCGGAACATCCCTTGGAGGCACCACGGCGCCTGGATCCGGAGCGGCCTCGCGAGCGTCCCCTGGAACGGGGGCGTCCTCTGCGCTGAGCATCCGTGGTGGGTGACGAAGACTGGAACTCGTCCGCAGTGTCGAGGTGACGTTGCGGGGACGGTGACGCAGCACCAGCCATTCTGGCACGCTCACTGCGACGACGGCGCACAATGTACGGGATCTTGAACCTTTGAGCACAGTCTTTGCTAGCCGTGAGATGCTGGCCACCACAGAGTTTGCACTTGGGAGTACACACATGTTGCTTGTCAGGGCTTGCGGCACCACAGCGCCTCGGCAAATCGTGTCACCGGGAGTGGGGCATACGTCAGCGCGATGACCAAGACGGCCGCACGCATAACACACGTCGATTTGCTTGCGGTAGAGTGAGCACTGCATCAGCACTGGTCCATACCTGACAAAGTTCGGTACACGATAAACCGTCGAAAGCGATGATGACCGTGCCAGTTTGGGCTATTCTCTTGGCTGCTAAGGCGAGTGGATTATTTGTGTTGACAACCTTCGCATCGATGACGTCAGGGCCGTCTTGAAGTGGGACGTTGCGAATCACCCCTTTGCAAGCGGAGTGTGGGGCAGTCTCATAGGCACTTAGCTCGTGCACCTTGCCTGTAATGAGTATTTGCTTCATCCGAACGTATCGGTCTGCGTTTTCGCGCTTGGGAGTACTGGCAACCATAATATTTTGCTGCAGATTCGGGCATAGAGTATCCTGGCACAAATCTTCCTGGCTTATGCCAGCGGCAACTAGTATTGCGTCAGCCACCGTAGCTGCGCCAATTTTCGAGATATTGAGTCCACCTCTCGGTCGGATCACAATCTTGATGTCATCTTGAGGAAGGGAGGGCATCTTTCCCGCACGTATTACTTTGGACTTCAGCGCAGCGCCTCTCGATTTGCCGCGGCGTGCGCCCGGCTGCGACGATGGCGCGTTAGAGTCAGCAGTGCGTGTTTTGGCGCCAGCTCTTCTGGCCCCAGCAGACTGCCAACCTTTATCTTGAGTAAACTCTTCTTCTGAAATATCCTCTCCGTGCACTTCATACTCCATCGTGAGCAAATAATTCCGCGCACCGGGCCTCCGAAGGGCCGGCCGCAGGCGAGAACAAGCCCAGCAAAAGCGCGGTCTCCCGAGCCACTCGTTAGGGTTAAAGAGGGCACCGCTCCACAGGAAAAGAAATTGTTCCTAACTTGACAAAAACTCACTCACTGTGGTCAAATATGGTATCGGTAGGATCCTGATGACTTCTCGGAACCGATGCGAGCAACAGTTCATGAACACTTGAAGAAAAAACTCTAGAAACACAGATTTAGTTGCGCGTCCACAGGAGCCGTACGAACGCAGCCTCCATTCCGCGTCTCCCCAGGAACTTCATTGTGTCAGTTCTGCAAGGAATTGCAAGATCAGGGGTGGAACGGGGTGCATAGATTTGGGAGAAGTTCTCAGAGTACGCAAAATTGCTTTTTGTAGCAGGCTGGGAGCAGCCAGAAAGACGTTTTGGAGCAGGCTTCGAGCAGCTATACAAGGGCCTCTTCGAGTAAGTTCTGAACAATGATGAAGATTCACAGCAGATGTAACCCCGTTCGAAGGACTTGTGGAGCAACATTTGTTCAATGCTGCACTTTTCAAACACTAAGCTCAATTGTGCATATCCTTATTGCGATATGAATTATATGGACATTCCTGGCGGATTTTTGCCGTCATGTCTCGTATAAATGAAATATTGATAACAGACACCAGCGCATCGTATATGTTCTATCCACGGGTTCAAACGCACGAGCATGCGCGACGAACGCGGTTGAAACGGAGATCAAACGAACCAGCCACTCCCCGGCGCTCGTTGGGCGCGTGCGGTAGCATCAGACACCACCATCCGTGAGACCTGTTGTCTAAAACACCGTTCATAAAAGGAGGTAGTGGCCAAGTACTGCACCAGGGTGGCCAATCCTGCTCGGTACCTGTAGTTAAAGCAGAACGGAAGCACTCCACGCGGCTTAGAAGGGCATGAAAAAAAAATGATCCCACATACCCGAAAGGAATCGTGAGGAAATGCGAATCGATTTCTTGCGATGGAGAGGACATCATTGCCGTCAGAAATTCGCATTCACCGACTTCTGCCATCGTCTTAAGAGGCGCCCAGCCAGGGAACGGTCGAGAGTGAGGCGCTAGCAGACGGGAGGGGGGAGAGCACGGAGAAGAGAGAGAAACATCGAGAGAAGGAGTGGCGAGGCACTGTACCTACCCTCTCTCGCAACATATGCTCCGGTTGGGAGGGGCGAGAATGAACGCGCGCGCCCGCAGTTGTTGCTATGCGAGAGAGAGTGAGAGCTGAGAGATAACACCTGCCGGTGCGCGGACAACGCCGGATGCCCGACTGAGAAATGCATTCGCATTTAAAAACGAGGGTGAGGGGGTGTCACTTGAGCAACCATGAACTTAGCTCTAAGGGCGCGACCACGCCCCACCTCTATCTCCTATAGACACTCCTCCCAGCAGCGATAACACCCCCATTGAGCAATACACGTCTCCTGCCCTTTCTCTTCCATGCTCCCCCTCTCTCGCCTCGCAACGCCAAAGCAAGCAGCGTTTGGTAGCGAGTTTGTTTAGAAAAGTTCATTTCGACGTGGTACGTAAGAGACAATTGGACAGTAACAAACGCACACACAACGAGCAAGCACTATGTACAGAAAACATTATCACAAATATGTCCTTGATTGAAAAAAACCGACTGCTCGCGCTGCACAGCCTTTCCCTAGCCACACTGTATATATATGAACTGAATCTTGACCTCCAAGGTATACTGCCGGTGGAGAATGTTTCCTGTGCGTTGTTGAACAATAAAAATTCGCAGCCTGCGTGTTAACTAGAAGCGCACTGCAGGTCACTGTTGGTACGCCTGAGAGTCCAGACCAAACGTCATTGCCTCGGCAAAGGCAATCTGTGTCAAGGCCCGTGAGCGAGCCCGCCTGACGCCATCATCTCAACGTCACCTAACCCGACGCACCGGTGTATCTTACGCAACGCACGGCGAGCTCCCTCAACCCACAGGCCCGATAGCAGCCCGATGATGCAAGCGGCGCCATCCAGTCTGGCGAGTCTTACGCAATGCGTGGCAACATCACTCGTCCTTGGGTGCAACCCAGCGCAGCGGCTCCGGATTTGAGGATCATGACGCAACCCAGCGGTGGGTTCCCATTGGAGGAGTATGACGCGACCAGGTGGCAGTTCTGATTGGACATTGATGACGTAAAGGATCACCTGGGGCCTATAAGGAACTACGCGGCGCTTCGCCAAGCAGCTGCCGTATGCGTCAGAGAGAAGACATCTAGGCTCTTCGAGTCCCTAAGCTGTCGGCCCCAGTGCCGAATATGCAACGCCTCTATTTCTATGCTGTACATAAACCTTGCCTCAACTTACCGTAGTCTTGTCCGCTCGTCTATCAGTTCTGCGCAGAAGCAGTCGCGAGCTGATGTAAGAGAATACAGCCACGTCAAAGAGCCTGCTTTTCTTGCAGTTTCTTATCGTTGAGAGCACAGCATGTAGAAGGATTCATGAGCCACTAGCGCTGATGTTAACCGTGATCGCCCACGCGTAGCGATTGCGACCTTAAAGATCCAACCTCACAGCTGCTCCTGGAGCGCTCACAGCCTTTACGAAACCGAAACTATAACCGTAACCTCCAAAGACGATGTTTCAGCTATGTTTTGGACACGGCGCTTGAACGCTTTTGCACTTTGCGGCTAAATTTTGGTGCTGAGGCGCAGTACAGCGCTGATAGGCGAGTTCGGCCCAGGTATGCAAGTTTAACTACATTGGCGCAGCTGTTCCACCCTGCAACATGGTCACACTGTATGTTGAGAGATACACGGAATGTAATTGTTGCGATTAACATTCAGTTTGACAACATTTATTCTAGCACTATACTGCATGTCTAGAAAAAAATGCAGGTACTAATTAGGGTTGCTGAGCTATGCAATGGCCCTAAAATTGTGAGTGATAAGAGCGAACCCCCACTTTACCTATCAATACTGCCTGTGATTGTAGAAGTAACTAGTATTTACTCGCATAATCCTCGCACTTTTCTTGCCGGAAAACCGATGCAAAGTTGGGGGGTGCGAGAATTACGCGGGGAAAACGTTCCACGAAAACATAGAGAGCGAAAAAGAAAACGAAGTGGCCGCAAATCGGGATTCTCACACCAGCAGCTTACAGCAAGCTTTAAGAGGTACTAATTAGAACTTACCTCAACAATAAAAGCAGAGGTTCACACAATACAAGATTTATTTGAGACACAAAAAGTGGAAGCAAATAGTCGAGAATTAGAATGCCATACGCAAAGCTTGTGGGCGTTGCGGGCGTAGCGGTAGCGTTTGTCGCTCAACAGGAGCCCTCAAAAGGTAAGCATAGGACGTCAGTATTGGGCTAATGGATATTTAACAGAATCGTCCGCAATTTCCTTCTGAAGAAATAAAGTTTACCATCAATCCCAGTTTTAGGCACACGGCAGGCACAACGCGTCTTGGTGGCTTTCAGCTGCCGTCACCAGTAGCGAACACAAAACTCTTAGGCTCCAAAGGGCCTACCGGCGGCCCTTTTACCGTTGTTTAGTGCATGATCCATCAACTTTAACTTGAAGCGGCCGTGTAGCTTCAGTATCGCCCCATAACGTGCCAACAGACAGACAGACAAAGAACTTTATGGGGTCCTGAGAAACGCTGCTCCTTTAGAGCAACGTCGCGGGCCGCTCCCACGTAGGAACGGGGAGGCCTAGCCTCACCGCCGCGTCGTGGGCTCTCTGGACAGCCCGTAGTTGTGGTAGCAACTCTGAACTTTGTAAGGCAGAATCCCAATCTTCTTCTGTGAGCCGACTTGGGCCCCGTAACGAGGGGCACTGCCAGAGCATACGTGCTAAGTCACTAACCTCGCCACAATCAGGACAGGTAGAGTCAAAAGCCTCTGAGGAGACTATGCCGAGGAAAAATAGGCTTGGATAGGACCTGGTCTGGAGCATTCTGAACGTGATGGCTTGAGGTCTAGACAACTTGTTGTGTGGTGGAGCAAATGACCGCCTACTCAACTGGTAGTGTTTAGCCACTTCACTGAATGTAAGTAAAGCGTCCCTGAAC